CTGCTATGCTTTTCATCCGACTCCTTGGGGTTAGCCATTAAGCAATCACGTTGTCAAGCTCATACACATGCTTCCTTGGTTGCAATAATTGAGTGCAGTAACTGTTCGCGGTAAATGGGGAGTTGCATCAGCTGGAACTGAGTGGTTAGCATCAGGATGCCACATGTTAGAAACACTAATAGGTTACGGGTCACCGACCAAAGGAGTCGGCGTAGCATTACTGGTGTACGTAAGGCCACCACTCATCTCGGTGCGCAGTGCCAGCAGAACTTGGATTAAATTGAAAAGAAGCTTGGGATGGCCAAACCAAGATGTGCATCGGTTCGTTAAGTTTACAATCGTTTGTCTCAGCCATGTGGGTGGGTGCGCACTCTGGTTGGATTCCTTGTGATAGTAGTAATCGGGAGTTGATGACGTGGCTCCCCATAGCATGCGCCGTTGTTTAGCTTGATTTCAACCTTCCCCATCTACTGGTTCTTTGTATGCTACGGCGACGTGTGACAACTTGACCCGATACACTTGTGGCCAAGTTTCCATTGGTTTGATCTGCATGCCACTTGAATAGAGACCTACCGTCATTTACGGTAAAATAGCAACAAATAATGAGATCGGGACATTTATTTAGCAGCGAGTAACTTGTCTTTTTGGTCACAGTTACCTCAACATTCGTGTATACAACTGCAGGAGTTCATTAGAGGTATTAGAAAGACAGTATATTAGGCTATCACATGTGGTACAACCCTCCATTGCATCAGTCTGAGCACCCGTCTTCTCAGGAACAGGAACACACCCGTTGTGATCTTTTACGGAACTCCACATACGACCCTTGCCACTCCTAAAAGTTGACCTAAGCCCGGACCATCGTACAACTCGCAGAACACAAAATCCCCAAGACAGTGAATTAAAGCCATATTTTCCGTTTCATATTGGCAAAGCGAGTGTCCTACGTTCTGAATTACGCGCATTCCTCTTTTGCAAAGTCAGAAATCCAATATTTGTATTCCAAATATTGATATTTTGATTAACTTGGGGGCATCAGTGATAAACTTTTGAAAATCTGGGAATACATGGTTTGCACGCAAAATTGATGAAAATGTGACCGCCTTCTTTTAAGCACTTGTGTTGTTTGCACGTGTTACGCTGACATCATCAGCAACTGCTCGGGTTATAAGTTGCCCCACGCTGAAACAGAGACAGTGACCAAGTAAAAGAGACAGTAATGCCTGGGCAAATTTACCTAAGATAACTGCCCCTTGCAAGGTGGAAAAGATTGGGTTTATTCATGACGATTAGCCTGTATTTGAACGCATGAAAACACTCATTTGCCACGGGTATCACAACCAAACAGCGGTTGCCCTTCATATCCACAGTCAAGTGCTCTTGTTAATGATATTGCACACAATGAATTTTTTAGTGCCTATGTGGAACTTCATATGCTGTAAGTAGTCCTTATGCCACTTACCCTCCGAGCCGAACGAGGCGCATCTACATCCCATCACAAGAGAATTACCTTATTACCTATGAGGCTGGCCATGCACGCTCTGAATAGATAAACCGAAAAACACCAACTGAATAGTCAGCGACAGTCTATATGAGTGTTTCACGCCGCGCATAAATATGCGGTGGTCACCTCCCTGACAAAACTTAAAAACTTACCGTAGCCATCGCACAGACGTAACTAAAGGGATCATGGCTACATGGAACCATGTGCATATTAACGAAACATGGCACTGATGATGCAGGTAGACCACGGGGCTCAAAAGAGACATGCTTTTTAGCTGTAGGGAAGCTAACATGAAGAAATTGATTAACTACAACTAGGTCATTATAAATGTTGTGTGCAAGGAAAGGCATTTATGCTTGATGTTAACTCCCGTACATGCAGGCAGTGTTCGGGCAATGAGGGGAACTCATTATCTTGGATTTACCTTCACCCCTCAGTTGATAACTATGTACACTTCTGTATATGCGCGTTGACCAGTTATCAGAGCTTCAAGTCATTCACTGCCTTCATACATTATAGCCATGTCGCAAACGTAAAAATAGCTTCACAATTGTGACAAAGTTGATATACTTTTAACTTTAGTCTGCTATAAGCGTCCGTTATGCTGGTCTGACGTGAATTACCCTAAAACCTAGTGCTCTCATTCTTTGCAATTGCTGAGCGTAATGCGATAGCTCTTGAAACTTGTGGCCTTTGCTGTACCAAAAATTAAGCATGACGCAACAAAATACCATGACGTATTATTACGACACGCCTTCCACTGAGACAGCTAATGACACGCACGTCCTGGCTGAACGCAACTCCAGCCTTCCAGCCGATTGGAGCAGTTGTAGAGCAGTCATCGATCAAATAGTGGTCTCCTCAAGAAGCAGTTTTCACAGGAAATGAAAAAATGCATCAGTAGTTGAAAATACTGAAAAATATTCAAACATGGAAACAACCACACAGCCGCACTTAGTATCGTTATTAGGACTGCCTTTAAAGACAGTGATAACGTTTAATGCGCTCGTTGAAGTTTATCCTCTTCACTTGGTCACCACTGTGTTTGAAATAAACACGTTGTGCTACTGCCACTACCTTCTCGCTTGATATGTTGTGGTTGTTGAAAGTAACTTGTTCTGGGTGTTACCCACACGTGCCAGGCCCAGCGAACTATCTTTCTATGAGTACAGGGTGTCTGGTGAAGTTCACTAGGGCTCAAAACTCATTTTACTTCTGTCCATAATTTTTGTGGATGACCTTTCAGATTCAGCATCAGCCGTTCCTTTTTTATTTTGATGGTCTGATGATCTCACTTTGAAACTTCACTTTCTGCGCGTGTTGTCCTGTAACCACGATGAATCGTGCGAGTACTTTTATGCCCCATGGAGCCAAACAGGATAGTCTCTTTCATCCTTAACGCAGTAAGCTTTCATATTTTTGGAGGCTAAATGTGATGTTTTTTGTTGAATGGTGTCCTCCAAGTAGTCTCGTAATAGTTTCTTGAAGTTGTGAACATTCCCTACCGTATTCATTCCAAGTCGTGTGCCGTTATTACCTTGGCATTTTATTCTGGTTGGTTACTTCAGCTGTTAGAGTGCGACAATAAAAATACGTCTCCAGCTCATTAGGAGTGAACTCTGCGTATCTGCTGAGAGAGACTCAGAGATATCTCTCGTAGAAACTTTTGGTATCTCTGAGCACTGCCACTATTTGCTCGTAGGTGTCTCCATAAGGTTTGCGGCGGTTTCATTGACCTCAGCCAGAGCTGTGGAGTATGGTCTTTCCACCCTCTATACAGGATTGGCAGACTTGGTACAGAGCCCATTGGGAGGAGTTCTTCTAAATCCATTTAACCAGTCAGTCCACAAACGTACGAAGAACAATTAGTTGCGCTTGACCTGTAATCTGCAGCATAAAGAAGACTTATAGGGACCTGATTATGGCTTAAAATATCTTGTTCATCCCTGGGTACCAGCTCGGTCAACTGTTGAACCTTAGCTGTGCCGCCAGCCCAAGGCGACACACACAGAAAATACGTCTGGAACATAGCATGTTAGAGATCAAACGCAACTTCCCCCTCTTAAGGACTGATAAACTCTGGAATGCCCTTCATGTGGAAGCGAATGTGAATCAGAGTCGTTTAGACGTCGGCTTCATAAACGCTTGAGATGCGGATAGGAGCTTACTCAGAAATAGCTGAACTTTCATTTCTTAGCAGCCACCTTTCGCTCTCTCTTCACCAGCACATAGGTGAAGAACCATGGGAACCAGTGATCCATCGATTCTAGACATGAAACCCATTGTGCGAATGCTGCTTCTATTTCAACAATAACCAGCCCTCCTGTTTGAACCCTTGACCCACAGAAAGTATCCTACTCTCTCTGGTTTACATTTTTTTCACACCCCAGCAGAAAAAGACCAAGGTTTAACGGTGTTGGATGAGCTAGATACCAGGAGACCGCGAGATGTCTTAAAAGCATACGCTGTACTGCGTTTTGTGCCTAGATAACTGGGTGCCTTTACCCTAGAACGCTTTCGGAATCTCTGCAAGAGCTACATAAGACCTCACTCGCAGATCCATGATATCTCCGCTGAACCATATCTGAAAAGAGGAACCATCCCCCCTGGAGAAAGTTTGGAGGTGAGCCACAAAGGGTATTGTAGGGATGCATAAGAAACTAGACGATGATAGACTAAAATATTAAGACCCACACTCCCTTAGTTGTCAAAGGTTAAGAGGCGATTTGCTGATGGCTTACTGAATAATTCAAGTCATCCGCACACAGGATTACTACTGAGTGGCCACTATGGTGATCCTCGTGGAAATCCTAAGAGAATTGCCCATCAAAGGTCAAAAACTCGTTTGCATTCACGCTTCGTCTCCCTTTCAGTCTCCGGGCACTGGAATACATTATCAGTAGATGTAGTCTCCACCCCATCCGCTGAAAGTTTTAAAAAAGGCTAAGCAGTCACACAGAGAACATGGTTTAGCACATGTAGTTGGAATACGAACTAGACCGAAGAAATAGGTTGCTGTCACACTATTCCAACTATATTACCTCTGCACCAAATCTCTTCCTCCTCTGACCATTTAGGCTCTTTCCAATTCTTTCACTTGCTATGAATTACCCTCAATTACCTAAGTCCTTCATATTTTCGCACCCCTGTCATCTTACCTGGGTGTAAGTAGATTACCCCATTAGTTCACTTTTCTTTGCCTTTTACTCACACGTACTTGTCTTCTTAGGTCTTCTTTTCAGTACCCCCAACTCCTTCTAACGGCCAGTCTGAAAAACTGTCTGGCGAGTCGACATCTGAAGAAGCCAACTGCACCACAGTCCCAGGCAAATTAACTGACATCAAACCACCTATTGGGTGTACCTCAGCTAAAGCAGATGAGTAGCTGGATCTACTGTATCGGAGTCCGCCCAAGACGTAGATTGTTCCGAAAGACCTAGAATTGAGCACGAGATAATCGACTGGTTTATGCAAGCTTGTTCAACAGATATTGGATATTGGAGCGTTGCCTCGCCTTTGGGATTATTGCGCTACAGTCATTTCGGCAAGTCGTGTTATCTACCCAAACTGGGTGTGTTTCGTTCTTTATATTGATTGGGAAAATTTCAATTTGGTTCAGAACAATAATATTCGGTCTCGAGGGACTCCTTTCATTATGTATTTAAGTTGGGTGCAAGAACAGATTTTCAAAGGAGAATAATATTACTCCCCATAGGAAACAAATCGAGGGAAAAAGTCAATAGTGAACATTGCGCAGTGGTGAAATTCAGTGACGATGGAGCGTAACTATCTCAAGCCAAATAACCCTTAACAGTTAGTTAAAATCAACAGGTGTTCGTCAGTGACGTTTGGGAATGTTATAGAATTATCTCTTAGATAGAAACTAATAATAAATATAGTGGAAATATCAGCAAAATATGTACACCATACAGTTCTGCGCCCATGCCACTCTTACTTTACCTAATGTCTGGTAGTGAGGTAGGTGAAATTATGAGGTGGTTGTGATGCTAGTATACGGCGAGATAAACTTTAAACTTCGTGTTGTAGAAACAACGAATGATAATTCCTTGGGTCATGTTTCTCTCTTGATGCGATACTTTCTACACTCGAAATGGCGAGTTGTTTTTCCGGACCAAGGAAATCTGCGGCGAAAGGGTTAATTACTCAATTAGCTTGCCATTTGTAGTGCTGCTTTCCAAGGTTTGTAAGACAAAGAGTAGCTTCTTAAGTACAGCCCTGCGCTTATATCAAACCTTATGAAAGCAGCAGAAGGAGCTGTGACAATTTCAGGGAGGGAGTTTCACAGGATACATGCCGTAATTGCTGATGAGTTAGCGTGGAACATCGTACTTGCTCTCTCATACTCTTATCTGAAACAATTACCTCTATCTCCCTGCAAGTCTCGTCATCATCAGGATACAATAGTAAGTGGGAATTTCGGCTTCCTGGTAAGTGAAAGCAACAGAAAAATCAAGTAACGCAATATAGATGGGCTTTATCATCTCAACGATCAATCATTATCAACATAGGACCAGGCATTACTGCGTAACGGTCCGAGTTGCCACACCTCACGTCAGTTCATCAAGTAGAAAGGTAGTGAGGTGAAGGATGAAGATAAGTGAATGCAGTCAAAAGAAATATAAAGTACGAGAAGAAAGGAAAGAGGAGTGACAAAATAGTGAGATTCGGTATAGCGTTGTTAAGATGAGGATAATGTGTGTATACATCTGCGCCACTGACTTCGGTTCTGAGCCATATCACCTAGGGTCTCCAACCACTGGTTCCTCTTGTCCCGTGGACCCCAACCACCTAGTCTGCATCGTCCTACATGGCTTAAACCAACAGTCAGAGACTTCATACATTGGTGCCATGTTTTAGTCTGGCCACCTCGGGCCTTTTTCCAGCCTGAACCCACCTCAGCCAACATTGTGTGACGAGGCAATCGGTGACTAGGCATACGTAGTACGTGTCCCAACCATCTCAGTCGATGAAGGTTCACAACCTCGTCGACTGACTTACCTCTTCTCCCTAAAACTCTACACCTAACTTCTGCATTACTCACATGGTGACACCACGGAATACGTCCTATACTACGAAGGCAACGGTGGTCAAACACCTGAAACCTTCTCATGTCTTCCACTTTCAATGGCCATGTTTCACAGCCATACAGTAGAACAGAGCGGACTGCTGTGCAGTACACGCGACCCTTAATAGACAAACGAATATCACGGCGGCGCCATAGGTGGCGCAAATTGGCAAAAGCCAATCGAGCCTTTTGTATCCGTGCAGAAATCTCATCGGCAACTAACCCACCAGGGTTGATCCTACTTCCCAGGTAAGTGAAGTGGTCAACACACTCAACCACTTCACTCTCTATTGTTAACCGCGGTACCGCTGAAGACCAGTCCTGGAGCAAAAATTTGCATTTGGGTGGTGAAAATCGCATCCCAAACATTCTCAAATTCCCACTCAAAGTGTTCAGAAGACTCTGCATCTTGTCAGCGTCTTCACCTAACAGGACTATGTCATCTGCATATTCTAGATCTGTGATTGGGTCAACGTCTTTGTAATTAGGTGACGAGAGGGAAACCTCCATAAGAATATCTATGATAAAATTAAATAAGAATGGGGATAGTGGGCATCCTTGACGGACACCACTTGATGAGTATAGCTCCCTGGACAACTCACCATAGGCTCTAACATGCCCACAAGTGTTCGAGTAGAGAGCTTTCAATAAGGTGATGTACTTACTAGGCACGCCTTTCAGTGACAGACACTGCCATAAGACTTCTCGATCAACGGAGTCAAATGCCGCCTTCAGGTCGAGAAATACAGCTATTGTCGGGCGTCTGTAAGCATGCCTATGTTCCAGGACCTGGCGCAGTGTGAATATTTGGTCGATACATCCACGGCCAGGTCTAAAGCCTGCCTGGTTTTCTCGGGCTTGCTGTTCCCGAGCTCCACTCAGGCGTCGGAGAATTATAGAACTTAGGATCTTAGACACTATGTTTGTCAGGCTGATTCCTCTGTGGTTATCACAAGAGGACTTCTCGCCTTTCTTGAAGACTGGGATGATGAGTGACTTAGACCAGTCGGAGGGGATCGTATTTGATTCCCATATACTGGCTAACACTTCCGTTAGCCTGACTAAGAGAACTCTACCACCATTCTTGTATACCTCAGCAGGTAGTCCGTCTGGTCCTGCTGCCCTTCCCCGTTTCAGGCTACCTACCGCTTTCTCAACTTCTTCTAGTGTTGGGGGACCTGTCTCTATGTCCCATTCAGGGTCCGACTGGATAGCGGGCAGCGCAATGGTGGCTGGAGGCCAGTTAAACTGTTCCTCAAAGTGTTCTGCCCATCGTCCCAGTCGCCTTCCCTGCGAGTGAATCGCCGATCCGTCCTTCTCCGCTATAACCTCACTAACTGTTGTTGACCATTTCCCCCCAGTCTCCTTAATAAGTCTAAATAACTGTCTACTGTTACCGATCGCCGCTGCCTTTTCCATCTCTTTAGCCTTTGCTGCCCACCACTGTTCACGATCGTTGCGCAGACTTTTCGTCAGTTTATTTTTAAGTTGCGCTCGCTCTTCATTGTACTCAGAGCCTGCAGGGATGCATTCACGTGCATCCATTAGTTTGGAAGAAGCTGCTGATATCCACTGGCTCTTTTTAGCCATTATCTTGGAGTCGGCTACAGTCTCCAGTGCTGCTTTTACAGTAGACTGAAGATGGCACCAAGCTTCTTCTGGATGAGTGACAGTCTTTTGTTCCGATAACTGCCTAGCCAACTTCTCACTGAACACGGCTTTGGTGTTTTCGTTGTCCAGCAGAACTCGTAGTGGTTTTGTTGCCAAATTTTTTCTACGTCCATTGAGACGCAGGCATATACGTGCTCGGACCAACGCATGATCGCTGTCCAAACACGTACTCCAGAAGGAGCGGCAGTCTTCCACCGATCCTCTCCAGCGATGACTAATAGCAATGTGGTCTATCTGTGTCCATCGCTGAGTTGGTGGACGCCAGGTCAGACAGTGCCTTTCTTTATGTCTGAAATTTGTGCTGGCTAAAAATAGGCGGTTATCTGAGCATAGTTGTAATAGGCGATCACCGTTATCTGTACGTTCAGCTGGGATTCCGAAAGTGCCACCTAAGTGCCTTTCTGCCTCACTCAGTCTACCCACCTGTGCGTTGAGGTCACCTGCAACAACCACTACGTCCGAACGTTTGGCTTTCGAGAGGAGGTTAGACAGTTTATGGTAGAACTCGTCCTTCACTTCATCCGAGCTGCAGTCAGTGGGTGCGTAAGCAGAGATTACAAAGAGACAACGGCGAGTCTCACTATTCCTTTTAGTTCTCACTGTGCCGTTCAGCCTCATAGCGCAGAGGCGACTATCAACTGGGATCCAGTCTAGTAGTGAGTTTTCTGCCCTGGTGCTTAATGCTATACCTACACCTGCAAGACCACGAGAGCTAGCTATCGAATCTCCAGAAACTCGAAGGGTGAATTTTGCAGATTCACCAGATTGGTCAGGAGAGGTCAGGTGAATAACCACACTTGGGTCCTGTATGCGTGTCTCACAAACACAGCACACATCCATGCCCGAGTTGCTAGAGTCTTTGCCAACGAAGCCTGTTGGCCAATTTGACGGAGGGTGCGGACATTGAAGGCTCCAATATGTAATTTGGAGCGTGGTTTAAGGAGACCAGGGATACTGTTCTGTGGACTCAGATCGTTGTCGAAGGCTGCAGAAGATGATGCAGCATCATTAATTAAGAGACGTGAAGGAAGATTAGAAGGTAATGATGGAGGAGGAGGATAGCAGTCAGAAGAAACTTGGGTGCTGACAGAGTTGTGAGGGCGGTTGACACTTCCCGGCTGCCCACACCGTGGAAGGCTATTTCTTCTTAAGGTACCTGAAAGAGATTTGTGTGACCGCAGAGCCCATCGGACATCTGCTTGAGGCCTGTCACACCCAGCCTTTTGAGTATGATTATTTTGAACTTTTGTATTTTTGGGGCCGGATGGTCGAAAGGAAACGACAAGTGAACCAACACCGCCGGCCCGGCAGACCGTGGGGTGTGGTGGAGTGTGTTATTTTTGGGGCCGACCTTTTCTAACCCCCCCTTCCACTGAGAAGGCAGCATCAGCATGGCACTGCTGGTCAGGTCATCCAAGGGAAACACCTTACTGCTTTCACACCCCATCCAGCTAGCAGCAGTACGACTTCGCCCTCAGACCCCCATCATAGTGTAGCAATTTACACTATAACGGTAACTGCTTTTCGTCTAACCACTATCCAACAGACCTTTCTGGTATGGTAGTACCTCGAGGGAACAAGCGTTCCACCAGCATAGCTCGTTGGGTCATTGTGATTTGCAGGCCCGACCACCACATCAAGGTAGCAGCTATCGGTCGGGTTATCATCTCAACGGAGAAAGTCGAACTATTCTATGCTATCGAGAAGTTGGTGTCACGTGACCTTCTAGGTAAAAGTCAGGATTGAGTTCCTAAGTAAATGATCACAAAAGAAATCGTTTGCTAGTCTTTCTTTATTTCCTGCAACTGAAGAAACCACGGAGATCAGTCTATAGTTAAAAGGAAGTAGTATATTGCCACCTTTACATACTTGTACGGCAGCCTCTCGTTTTTAGTCAGAGGGCAATTTACCTTCTAAAAACGAGTTTCTGAAGGGGTTTATTAGTGGAACAATTAGAACACTGGTACTCTCGTTGAGTACTGGGGTGAACACCGTCAATTCCTGAGAATTTATCAGGATTTAAGCTCTTTATCATCATCAAAATCAACATAGGACCAGGTATTACTGCGTAACGGTTTGAGTTGCCACACCTCATATCAGTACATCAAGTAAAAAGGCAGTCAAGTGGAAGATGAAGAAAAGAAAATTCGCTCAAATATAAAGTACAAAAAGAGAGAAAGGAAAAATGAGAAAATGGTGGGATTCGGTAAAGCGTTCGGATGAGTATAATATTTGTATATATCTCAGCCATATCACCTAGACTCTCCAACCACTGGTTCCTTTTGTCCTGCGGACTCCAACCGGCTAGTCTATATCGATCTACATGACTCAAACCAACAGCCAGAGACTTAAGTTGATGTACTTACTCAGCACGCCTTTCAGTGAGAGACATTGCCATAAGACTTCTGGATCAGCGGTGTCAAGTGCCGCTGCCTTCAGGTCGAGAAATACAGCTATTGTCGGGCGTCGGTAAGCGTGTTTGTGTTCCAAAGCTTGGCACAGTGTGAATATTTGGTCGATACTTAAGCTCTTTAAGATTCCCATGATTTTAAGAGGCTCAAATTCTATAAAACAAACTCTGCATTCTGAGAGACTGTCTAGTTTATAGTTGTCCCTTCCACTAGATAAAAATTATTTTGAAATTCGTAGCTACCAAGTCAGCTATCTCACAGTTAACGTGATGAATCACTGAAATACTTGGGTCCTGTGTGCTAAATGAAACGTCAGTCCTCTTTTTCTGTGAGTACAAAACCGCATGATTCTCCTCCAGTTTTCTGCACATATGCCTAGTATTTTACTATCACTTTGACCTTCACTGTACATCTGTTGCGGATGCCCTTGTAAAATTTCCAGTCTCTCGTGCTATTAGAAACTCTCTATCTATTTGAAGTTGACCGGCGTACAAGTGCTTGGCCCTAGGCCAGGAGAAGGAAGTCCTTATACTTCTTGGGAAGACCTAAAGAGTGTTCCTACTAACCGTCTGAATTATTGTGTCCTTCAACAGTTCCCATCTGATGTCCAGATCAAATAAGTCGTCGAGATTTAGCGAAATCAAACCTAATTCTTGTCTGTCCTTCCGACATTCAGTTTTCTTATAATTCCTGACTAGTGGTTGATCAGGCGTATGTGACTTAGATATAGAAGTGTCGAAGTAAACGTGCGCATATTTACTCTGTCCAGGAAGACTATGGACAGTTAAAATGGATACACCAGTGAACTGTCTGAGTGCTAAAAACGTAATCTAGTCGGGATACCCTTGCTTTCAAACCCCTAGAGAGTACATTGTCAGACATGTTCAGTGTTTTCCAGTATTAGTTCCCGAAATTCTTTTGCAAGAGTGCATTGACTTATAGTGGTGAAGAACTGAAGAAAGTGAAGTTACCCGTAATGAAGACCTCAGGAAAGTTCAAATCTAAATCTCCTGGAATAGACTAAGTCATTTTCTTATCAAATGCTACGGAGGCTTCTGGACGGCAGCATAGAACTCCAACCAAGCAGGGATCCCTGTAACACTTAATTTTACAACAGAGTTAATAAGAAATTCTAATTCTTACACGGGAAATCTCGTGAACTTTCAAAGAAGGAAAGACATAAAGCGTAACCGCCCCGGATTTCTCTCATCTATCCTTCCGAACTAAGCTGAGCCCTACCAGAATAATTTCGTCATTTATGTTATTTGTGATCCATGTTTCACAGATAGCCACTGTACTAGGACTATCCTCTTCAACAGTAACCTCATCTCGATTATCTTGGAGATGGAACCTCGCACATTGCTACAAATAGAGGATCCAAATCCAGAGTTCAAGCGGTTGATTGAGTCAAGGCAATTGTGTAGCCGGACTTCAAAGGTCCGGCTTCGTCACTTTTACGAATGAGGGGCTAGTACTAAAAGTAAACAAGTCCTTAGTCCTACTCGTTTGTGGGCCGGCATAGGATTTTCGGCTCTGAAAGATAGAGAGAAAATTATTGTTCATCTCAACCGTTTAATCGTTAGACTTGGATTGGCGAGAGGCAAGTTCTTGAATCTACTCTCAGTCGGTCTCAGTCCCCCAGGTTTGAACTCACTTATTTTGGTGTTCCCAGGGAAAGCATCCAATATATTGTACCTCGACTCTAGGGTTGTTCTGACTATGTTCATAGAGTCAAGGGTAACCTGGAGGTATGGATGTGAGCCACACGAATGTGGTGTTAGCTTCACCTAGATTTACGCATGACAGTTACTTTAGGACAGAATACTACATTGGTTTCGCGTAATAGTAGATAATTTCGTCTTTATTGTCATTTTGACTATCTGAGATAGCCGTGGTTTGGCGGACTAGCATTTATACTGGGTGATGATTGGAGAAGAAATGAAAAAGACCTATTACTGTGCGAAGTAAGTTTTAATATTTTGGTTTGCTTAAACATGGTTTGTTTTCAATGCTCTATTTTTTTGTAGAACAAACCACTTAGATGGACTTTAAAAAGCCTTTGGCTGGAGTTACGTCAATGTCCATGGTTCCTTTGCCTAGCAAGAAACCGCGTAGGGATGCTCCAAGTATGGCAATTACTCCTTTCGGTAGTGGCATGTTCAAATCAAGTTCTCAAATTATACCAGCTGGACAGCAGGGGAGTGTTCCTCGAACATCGAACTTAATGTCGCCAAATATGCTTTTAAATGGTCATGAAAGTGAAGTTTACTGTGGAAAATTTGCTTCCGATGGATCGTTCCTTGCAAGCGCTGGATTTGATCGTCGTATACAGCTGTGGGAGACTTATGGTGAATGCGAAAATATCGTGACAATGCTGGGTACGGTATATTTATTTGTTTGGTTGCCGAAGATACATTCCTAGTAGATGTTCTTGTTTGAATTTAGTGTAACATTGTCCTCAAAGTAGACCATTAATTTACGACGCGAAACAGGGCGTTTACTGTTTATTGCCTGCTTTTGTTTGTCTGTAGAAGTTTTTCATCTTAGGCAAGCAAAAGCCTAACAAACCTATGGTATTACAGTGTGAAGACGTACAGACAGACATGGGACGTGGCACCATTGTTTATCGACCCCAAGTTACTACTCTACACGTCATCATAGTGAGAAAAACGAACAAGAGAAAAGGCAAGTGAATGAAAGAAATTCTAATAGTAGAAAAGAAATGAAAGAAGAAGTCACAAGAAACAAGTTAATGTAGGGAATAAAAGCATGAAATGGTGACGTTTTCTAAACATTAGAAAAATGTAAGTTGTGAATGCGTTTGCGTCATTTCCATCGACTAAAACCCATACCATATAGTTTTTTCATATTCTATTAGTTGATTTAAACCCCATTCCATCTGTCGAGGTCTGAACAGCTAGGTAGTAAAAGTAGCCCTTACACAATAGGCATAGCTCTTTACCTACTTTACAAACGTGCAGGTGGCTTCTGAATTGCATTTCGATTCGAGTTTATCTGATAAAGCGCAAAGTGAAGCAGTATTATTTACTGGATGGTGGTTTGGGCCCAATTCGCTGTTCACGGTCCTATGATATTATTGTAAGTAATAAATTGTGCTCTAAACACCACCCAGTAGATAATAGTAATAATAACGGTAATTGTTTGTGAGGTGAGTGCGTGGAAGGGTCATCGTTACACAAATGAGTTCTACAGATGACGGAAGCAAAAAGAGAGGGTGTACAGATTTCTGAATACACGGGCTTGGTACGTTATGGTGAATTCCGATGGCTTTTGATGTAAGTAAAAGAAAAAACTCGTGAAGCATAGGTGAGACTAAACGGGATGTATTAAATAACTTGAAAGGCATTCATTATTTTGGTATTTCTATTTCCCAGTGAATTTAAAGCAACATAAATTTGTTTTGAATAGTAAACTTTAAGATATCGGATTACTTTAATGCACCTATAAATAAGATTCATCGAAGTCATCGCTTAACTGAGTCTTGCACTGTACGTCATATACTCACTGAAGACCTTGAACGCAACTCCGTGCTCAGAGGATTTTAGTAATACCTAACTTCCCTGTGTTGCAATATATGAAATAAGCTAATCTAATCTAACATAGGACTATACTTTGCCACTCTTCAATTTTTACTGTGATTTCTCCAACTATTCATTTTTACTGAGCCATCATCTGTAACCAAGACGGGTGACGGTTCTTTATGTGACTGAAATCAACAATGGCCGATGTCATAAATTGATGATACACGTTAACCTTATCACTCTCTGAGACTCCATGCTTCTTTTTACTATTCCAATTTGCATAGTGCACAGAAATAGATGCAGACTAGGCATTGGTAGAGCTGTGCAAACTGATTAATTTTACTTAACATGTAGACCGAAAATTGGGTAAAAACACAAGAGAAAAAGCTGAAAAAATTGAGTGATAAATGGAAAAAAATAACTTCTTTGATTACTCGTTCATAGTTGTAATATCTCTGCCTTTAAATGTATACTCGAGTCTCGCCTTGGGACTCATCAGATGAACACACTTGCATATAAGTGAGTGGTGCTTCCAGTGATATTCCCATCACTGTGCTACTGATGTAATAATAAAGGACTTAGGACGATATCTGTCCAGGAGCATATGCCACAAGAAGCCCGCATGTTCCGTTCACTAAAATAATCAACCGGAAGTTAATTGTATCAATGGTCAAGTCATTCAGTATCAACAAGATGTTTGGGGTTACTGCGTAAGTTTCCACACCTCATACTAACACGTCAACATAGAAGCTAACACGATAAGAAATGACGAAAAAAGGCAAGAAGTTGTCAAAAGTGGCAGGAAGTCGTAAAGAGAGACCAAAAAGAAATGAGAGGAATATTGAGATCGAATCTTATGATAAAGACGAAGGTAATGTGTGGATGCATCTGCGACAGAAACTTATTCTCAACCATGTAACATAAAGTATCTAACCCCTGGATTTTGTTGTCATGAGAACCTCGACTGAGAAGTCTACCATTCAGTACTTGGCTCAAACCAACAGTCAAAGACTTCATAAACCGATACTTTATTTTGTTTGGCCGCTTCTAACTTTTTTTCCACTCTGAAACTACTTCAGCCAGAACTGCTTGACGGGGTAAACGGTGACGAGGTATGCATGACACGTGTCTCAGTGACCTGAGCCAATGACGGTTCACAACTCCATCAACTGACATTCCGTTTGTGACTAAAGTTCTACGCCTTACTGTAGAGTTACTGATGAGGTGACACAACAATACATGGTCTGGACCAAGAAGGCCACAATGACCGAAGACCTTAAACCATCTCATGTCCTGTGCCTTTAATGGAAAAGTTTCGCAGCAATATAGTAAAATAAAGGGAGTAGGTGAGTAGTACTCGACCGTTGATAGACAATCAACTGTCACGACTGTGCTGTATATAGCGTAAGTTGGCAAAGGTTAGGCGAAACAACATAGATTTCGTTGGTTACTGATCCACCAGGGTTGAGCCGTTAGATTCTACCTTGATGTGGTGGTCGTCCTTGCATATCACAACAGTCACAAGGGCTTCTCTGTCTTGAGTGCTTGTTCATTAAGGTCCTACCGTACCAGGAAGGTCTGTGGACTAGTTAGTGGTAAGACAAAAAGCAATTACCGTCATGGTGTAAATTGCCACACTTTGATTGGAGTCCGACAGTGGATTGCTACTGACTGGATGAGGTTTTTGGAGCTGTGACTCAGTGGTTTAGAGAAATGACTACCAACCACTGGAAAGGGGGTTCGAGCTTCGCTCCACCTACTGAGTTTTAGGCAGCTAGGTATTATCACTGGCTCTCACATAATAGATATGGTTCATTGTTTGCTGCACGGATAGGCACAAAGTGGCTGAGTTCATTTCATTCGTTCGGATGGGGCGACAACAATAAGGTGTTTCCGGTAGATGACCAGCAGTATCATGCTAATGCTACCTTCTACTTAGAATGGGGATTGTTAAAGGTCGGCTACGAAAATTACGTACTTCTCCTAGCCCTGTGGCCTTACGGTGCCGGTATGAGCTTTTCATCTTCTTTGGTAGGACAGTCGAATCTTAATGTAAAACTTATCAAAAGGCCGTATGTGACAGGCCTTAAGCAGATGTCTGATGGGCATAAAAATCTTTTTTCTTTCACGTACTTGCGTGATGTGGGCAGTTAGAAAGTACCAGTCAGTAGCTTGCTATCTGAAGCCAGCAAAACGGAGATAACCATGAACTGCCTTCCTTACTTTTATTTCTTTTCTTGCCTTCGACTCCGGAGCGAAAGATGTTTTGCCAAAACTCTTAAATCTCAAGGTATGTATGTATGTATGTTGTATTTGTAGGACGTGCATACGGTGTTCTTATTTTCTTGACCTCAACTGGCCAATGTAGTGACTGTGTATACTTCACTTCACGAGTGTTCGGAAATTCAGTGGCTAGTTCCTGTCAACTGGCCGGTGTATATATAGCGTTCAGTTCTCGAGCAGAAGCCACACCTGGAATGGAGACCAGGAAAATGCTGCCTGTCCACTTTCCAACTGGAATGGGTTTGTAAGAACTGAGAACGATCGTGATACTTGAGGATCCACCTTCATAACCTCTGCCTACGCGCTCAACGAATTAACTTCAGATTATACAAAGGATGATATGAATCAAAGCTTTCAATTTCGCCACAAAGGAGAATGTCGCGATATAGTCATACTAACGCGCAACTTTAGCTCTCAAGTAGGGATCTTGGAAGCATCTACGGACTCTGATGCTGAAGAAATTCCAACTTTGGTTTGATTCCAACAATTAATTCTGAAAAATGTATTACTAAATGTAACCGTTAACCGAGAAAGACAGGTAACTTCCAGATGTGTACCAGTGTGCATCGATCAAATCTTTACTTCATCAGGTTCCGGAACACAGAGATGCTTAGCAGTGGCTGACACTCGCCAGATTTCTTAACCTGAAGACAGCATTTGACTCTGTCAACCGTGAGGTGTTGTGGCAGTATCTGTCTGGGAAAGTAGTAGCGGACAAATATGTAACGCTAATCCAAGCTCTTCCCTCAAACTGGCGCAGCTGTGCACGGGCTTATAGCCAGTTGTCATCGAAAGTGGCAACAAAAAGTGGTATTAGTATTTCTGACCAACTTCTTTGTAGAAGTAGTAGTACTTCTGGATGTTCAGGAGTACCACGCTGAAGGTGTCATTATAGGAAGGAGGGTTGGAAAAGATTGACCCAAAAAAGCATACCTCACCTCTTCCGGTTCCAGCGGTTTAGGTTCTCTCTATCCGCCGTTAAGAACAATCAGGCCTCAAAACAATACCTTGAGAAAGGCGTGTGTGACAGACCTCTAAAAGGTGTCTTATGGGCTGTATGATCACAAAAGTCTTTCTCTCTCTCATATACCATAGGAGGAAATAGCCTTCCACAGTGTGAGGAGCCGGGAAGTGTCAACCACCCACACGCTTCGAGTAGTGCACAAGACTGAATCAAACATAAATTGACGTCACCTGAGCTTAGTATTGAATCTTCAGAATTGACCTCACGAGTATCCAGAGACCCAGTGACTAGCTCTTGTGTACTCGCTGGTGTAGGCGAAGCATTAAGCTGTAGGGTATAAAGTGGGCTTCTCGACTGGATACCAGTCAACAGCTGTCTGTTTTGTGTTCAACTGAATTGATGTGTAAGAACCGGAAAAGATTGTGAGACTATGTGATGCCTAAACATAATCTGCGCCCACACACCCACTGACTGGCTGGAGTTTGGATGACACGAAGGATGAATTCTGTGTGAAACTGTCGGTTTTGCTACAGAAAGGCAAAGGTTCAGATGTAGTCATAATTGGAGGTGACGTTAACGCTGGAGTAGGGAAACTGAGCTGAGTCAATGGGGAAAGCATTTTGGATGTACTTATGGAGACGTGTGGCAGCGAACCGACAACGATGACCGTCCGTTGCAGTTCTGTTCCTACAATCACAAATTTGTGGCCGGCACTAAGTTTAGGCATGAGGAGAGATACTGTCTCACATGGTGTCTGTGGACATGAAAACCAACGAAGGACTCAGATAAACCATATTTGGCATTGTAGGAGGAGGATTAGTGGAAGATTGGCGCTGTTTCTGGAGTACCAGTTGGACTGGATTCGGGTTGTACTGAGGTCTTGTGTTTAGGGATTTAGAGAGGAGTTAGCTAAGCATTTGTATGAAGGTGACAGCAATATTCATCTTGAGGAAAGGGTCGTGATATAAAGTCGGGTGTTGAAACAGCGGTAAAGATATTTTATAATTTACACCCGAAGGTTAGCAAATGTCATTTGATTTCGGTGACATCGTCCGAACTGATTGATGCGAGAGGACTGATTGCATCTGAATGTGACCACGATGATGAGTGAATGGAACTCGAACGTAAATTGAATGAGAGTCTTCACGTGGATCGCACTCAGTGATAGATGACGAAAGCGCTAGAGATGGAGAAGGCGTTAGCGTTGAGTAACAGCCGGGAAGTGTTTAGGCTGATTAAGGATAGTGGATAGAATTAGGCGATGATGATTAGCGAAACCATTACCGAAGTGGATAGGACGGTGACAACTTTCCAGAACAGGTGTGTATAATGTTGGGCAGAACACTTTGAAGCACAGTTCGACTGGGCTACAGCAATGGTTCAGTTGCCCAAATCCAGCCTGAACGTGAATGGGAGAGAGACGTCAGTCCTCCAACTGTTGTTGAAGTTGAGACGATTATATTGAGCGTGAACGGACGCATAGCAATGGGAGGACTTGACGTTTTCAAGGATGTGTGTATGAAATTGGTGCTTAAAAGGAGGTAGGTACTAGGTAGTGTATGTGAATGAGAGGTAGTTCCGTTAGACTGGTTTGCTTTTCTGGTCACTGGTAGTCTATAGGAATGGGGAGATATGTTTTTGTGACAACCATAGGAGAACTAATTTGACAGATATTGTGTCCAAGATCCTAGGGTTTATATTTATCGGAGCTGGAAGACAGCAAACTGGAGAAAAGCAGACAGGTTTCGTGCTTGAATGAGAGTGCATCGACCATATCTTTATCCTCCGACAGATTCTGGAACATGGGCATTCCTACCGGCCAATGACCGACACTTTCCATTTTTGTTGACCTGAAGTTGGCATTTGAGTCGGTAGAATGCGAGACGTGGCCGTGAATAGGAGACATGAAGTGTTTTCAGGGTTTTGATCATAGGTGTCTTTGTGGCAGTGCTCGCGTTTGTTGGAATTATCGTGTCAGCAATGTGAAAGTCATATGAAGTTTACTATGCAAGACGGGCAAGTCAATTGATGAGGTTATGTGAACCTTCATTGACCAACGTGGGATCGACATGTGTTTCGCATGCTGAGCTAACCACTGTTAAGTGCACGTGGAATGCTAGGTTAAATTGGATTTGATCGAAAGAAGGCTCAGTATAGCCAGATAAATACATGATATCAGTCGATGCAGTCTCTTACTACTGGTCGGAGCCGTACGGGGAGGTGTAAACTGTGTAGCTGGTGGTAGGAATCAATGGTTGATGATTCTTGGTGACATGGCTTAATGTTGGCCACAGTAGCTCAGATGTATTCATTCTTTGACGTCTTCTAAAGCCTGAATATCTACACTAATGTTCGTCTTTGAATTGTTTCTCCTTCTATGTACCTTTGTCTACTTAAATATCAGTCTTTTTCTATCCACTTGTCCTTTGCATGCTGGTATAGAGTGCGGGAACTTGAACCGATGCACTTATGTGCGTGGTTGTACATTGATTTGTCTGTCTATCAGGAGTTTGCTGTTACAAGGTGAATCCTTAAGTCAGATGAGATGAAATAGGTAGAGAGGGATCTTGATAAGCACTTCCATGAGGAAACTAAGTAAGAATGTTGAGAGTGAATATCCTTGATGGGCATCAATAAATGTACATAAGTCATTTAATGCCTCACCGTAGGCTCTAACACTCCGATAGATTTCGGAATACACGGTATTCAAAAGATCGTTGTACTTAATCGGGACCCGTTTCAGTGACAGACATTACCACAAGACCCCTCGCTCAGTGGAGTCGAATGCTATCTAGAGGTCAAGTAATACGGCTATTGTCGGGTGCCATAGGTGTGACTCTGTTCCATAACATTGCAGACGATGAAGATCTGGTCAGTGCATCCACAACCGGGTCTGAAACCTGCTTGGTTCTCTCAGGGTTACTGTTCACGATTTTCACTTATCTGTCTAGTGATTACAAAACCTAGGATCGTGAACGGTATGGTCATCACACTGATTCCCGTGGGGTTATCTTTCTTTCTTTTCTGGAAGGCTGGACTTGTGTGGCTACTGTTGCCCATTTTACAGTGAATAGCGCTGATACGTTTGAAGTGAAAATCGATGATTTCTCACAAACGGAAGTAAATTCAAGTTTTATTTTCAATACTTTGATAACCAGGATTTTCACACAACCCACACTAGTAATGGTGCAATGATATTCATCCTGTAGTCAAGTGAGTGGAATAATTTTTGTAGAGTTTTGGTTATTGGTACGAATCTAACTGATGAAATTGAGTTTAACAAGCGAAAACGCAAGTGTGTATCGTCCACTAGTTTGAGAACATGGCGCTCTCATCTCTTCGCATATGAACACAATGTCTGTTAAAAGTGTTACGCATTTGAGTTCTCAGCTGATAAACGAAGAGTATATATTGTCATTTTTTCAGGTCATGGTGGTGCTATTTTGGATTTAGTGTTTTCGTCAGATGATTCAGTTATTTATACTGCCAGTTCTGATAAATCTGTTGCTCTATGGGATACTGAAAGTGCTCAACGGATTAAAAAATTCAGGGGTCATGAAAACATAGTAAATTCATGTGCAGTTGCTAGGCGTGGTCCTCAGCATGTATGCTCCGGTTCGGATGATGGAACAGTTCGACTTTGGGATAGACGGCAAAAATCCTGTGTACAGACTTTCCAAAATACATATCAGGTTAGCCAGTCATAAGGAAATTATGTTTTAAATATTTTTATCATATCGGTTCCTAATAGTCCTTATACAGTAGTTCGAATATTTTGTGGAATAATTTATTTTCCTCGCATGAGAAAAGTGGCGTTTCAGCTTTCTTCACTGTCCTTACTACTTCTAGTCTACTATTACTAGAATAAAAATGTTTTGCTGCTTTTATAGTACCATATCTCACTGGCAAGTAATGAAACAAAATATGTATTATTTTCAGAGGTTGCCCAGACTGCAAGGGAGGTGAGAAGCTATAGCATACAAGTGCTAGGAATATGCGAAAGCAGATGGAATGGAACTGAACTCTCTAAACTGTCGAATGGATGGTCAATTATCTACTCCGATATTTTCACCCAGATGACAACCACCAGCACAGCACACTGAGTTATGAAGTGGCTATCATGATGTCCCTAAGACCATCGAAGGCTCTCATACACTGGGAACCAATCTCCTCCAGGATCATGACAGCAAGGTTCAACTCAAAAGGAAGGAAAGTCACAATCATACAATGCTACGCCACGCTACGCACCTACAAACAATGCAGATCAAGAGAAGAAGGAGGAATTCTACAGACAACTGCAATCAGCAATAGACAAGACCCCACCCCAGATGGCGACATCAAAATTCTAGTGGGTGGGGTGAGATGAATGCCAAACTGGGAGGGGGGGGGGACAATACAGGAAGAGAACTCATCATGGGTCGAGAGGCACACGGTGAAATGATGAACGAGAATGGAGAACTGTTTACAGACTTCTATGCATTCAACGATTCGGTGATTGGAGTCAGGCAGTGTGTACGAACACAAGGATATTCACAAGGCAACGACATGGATTTCACCAGACACCAGGACACACTAGAAACCAGATCGACTTCATCTCAATGTGAAGAAAGTGGAGAGGCAGTCTACTGGTCACAAGATCAGATCAAGAAGAGAGAGGAGCAGATGTAGGTTCGCACCACTCACTTCACTACCTAGTGCAAGGAACCTACCTTCCAAATCAAGTTGAAAGCCTCAAAAGAAGCTGGTGATAGACGACCACAGTTCAAGTTCAACAACCACCCAGAACAGAGACTGAACTGAAGGACGAAACTACAAAGGAGATTTTCACGTCAGCCAGCCATCAGGACAAAACGGGGGCATTGTGCAACATCCCTGAATGGATCTGTGTGGGAGAACACTGGAGCACTTTGAGAGCTATGTGGAAGGAAACCTGCATAGCCGTATTAGGGAGGAAGAAGAAGAAGAGACAAGACAAGGAATGGATCTTGACGGACACATGGAAGCTGATAGAACAGGGAGAGGAAGATGGTGAAGCAGAAGATAAACCAGTGCAGTGTAGGGATGAACAATAAAAGGAGGAACTGAATACAACATATAAAAAAACACTGGACAAAGAAGTGAAAAAGAGTGTATGGAAAGACAAAAGACACTTCTACGACACATTGTCAAGTGAAGTAGAACAGGCTGCAGGTAGGAGAGACCTGACAACACTATATCAAATAACCATGTTAATTACTATCTGGGAAGAGATCAATACAGATGAAACCAATGAAAGATAGTCAAGAAAACGTAGTTATCAAAGAGGAGAAACAAAGGAAATGATGGGCTGACCACTTCAAAAAACTCTTGAATCGACAACCATCTGCAACTCGTCCAGAAATACCACCAGCAGCCCAGCCACAGAAATATCAAAGAACACAAACCCACCGTCAAAAGCAGAAGTGAAGTCCTGAATGCCATAAGGCTACTGAAATCAGGGAATGCAGCAGGACCAGATAGAATCCCACCAAAAGCGCTGAGAACAGACACAGAGACAACAGCGGACATGCCCACATCACTACTGCAGAAGATTTGGAAAGAAGGAAGGAAAGGTACTTGCCGATTGATTGGAAGAAGGGCTACCTTGTCAAACTCCCGAAGAAGGGAGACCTAAGTCTTTGCAAGAACTTTCGAGGAATCATGCTCCACCCCTACCCACCGCAGGCAAAATATTAAACCGCATCATCCTGGAGATACCAAAGGATGCACTGGATTCAAAACTACGACCAGAACAGGCTGGATTCAGGAAGAACAAATCATGTGTTATGACCGAATTGCAACGCTACGCTACACATCATCATAGAAGAGTATAGAATGGCAGTCCACTCAACTCTACCTCAACTTCATTGACTTTGAAAAGGCCTTCGACAGCATCAACCGAGAAGTAATTTGACAGCTGCTTCAACACTACGCTTTTAGTGAAACAAACCTTTATCAACCTCATTCAACAGCTATATGGAGACGCCACATGCCAAGTGATTCACAATGGGAAGCTCAGTTATGCCTTTGAAGTGAAGACAGGAGTAAGACAAGGTTGCCGCCTACTATCGTCACCGATGATCGTCCTGATTGTGATGGACTGGATCATGCAACAAACAGAAGCGAGAAGAGGGGGATACGCTGGACCGGGGAAAAAATCCTAGAATATTTGGATTTCGTCGATGACTTGTTTCTAATGTCATACAAACTAGAAGATCTACAGGCAAAAACCAACAAGTTGACATAAGAGGCAGGGCAGCGAGAACGGGACTTCAAGTGAATGTAGAGGAGAAAGAGGTGATGAAGATACCCAACCAACAACAACAACAACAAGCATCAATCACCACCAACGGCTGAAATCTAAGGGAAGCAGTCTCTTTCACCTACCTTCATAGGCAGCACCGTTTCAACTACAGGCGGCACAGATGAGGATGTCAAAGCCAGGATCGGAAAGATAGCAAGACAGGCATTCATTAGCCTGGAACCAGTGTGGAGATCTTCTGCACTCAGCATAAAGAACAAGATCCGGATTTTCAACACTAACGTCAAGTCAGTGCTTCTATGTGATGATTGAGAGACTTGGCGCGTCACGGAAAGCATTTCCAACAAACTACAGACATTCATCAACAACTGCCTACGCTCACTCGATACTCAAGATCAGATCAGAAGGTCAGAAAGAATAAGCAACAATGAACTCTGGCCTCGCAACGAACCAACGAAGAACCCATCACCCAAGAAATATGCAGAAGGAAGTGGAGATGGATTGGGCATACACTGAGAAGACCATTTGGGGACATCACGTCCCAAGCCCACGAGTGGAACACAAAGAGGAGACGACGAGTTGATCGTCCGAGGGTGACATGGAGGAGATGGTGTGAGGAAGAAATGAATGCTTGTGAGCAGACGTGGAGCCAGGTTCAAAAGACTGCAGAGAACAGAGTGGAATGGCGACGTGCTACTGAAGCCCTATGTTCCACTAGGAACCCATGGGACAAATAATATAATAATAATCTCATCTCATTCTTAGTAAGCTGTATATATACGACGATGATGCAAGGGACTTAGTTTATGATTTAATGTTATCAATTAGTTCCGCTAACTGAGTTTTGACGACTTCAATGTCAATCAGATTTCAGTCTTATACAGTTCACCGAGGTTCTGAATGCTTTATTTATGAGTAATTTACCTGCATTCTGATTTCGTGACGGAGATATGATGCACTGCTCGTTTTATTTGCTCTACTCTACATTGTATAGCAGTTGTTTCACAAGAAAGTGATGATCTAAATCAGTTCTTGCTAGCATTTTGTTCAATTTGAAATCTCTTTGTTGCTGGATCATTATTACGAAAAAAATCCTTTCCGAAAGATTTAAAATAAGATTTTTTCGTTGACCACTTCGAGGTCGAATTGGTATTTCTTCGTGATACTAATATCATACTTACACCTCGTGCTAGAATCTCTCAAATTATATGTGCCATTGGTTTCGAATTCAGCGTTTCTAAGTTCCGCGTTCCATCATAAAATGGCACCAAACAGGGCCTCTGAAACTTTCAGCACTGCATGTGGTTGTGTAAGACATTTAAGAGGTTGAGCGGAGTCTAATCATTCTGAAGCATATAGGAACATTGGGGTTAGTGTAGATTGGTACTTCATGGCTATATAAGTTCTATCAGATAAATTTTCGCACTCAGCGACTCATGATTATACCAGATACAACTCAGGATTTTCACAAGTGATAACCTTTTTATTGCTTTTTACTATTTTCTAATTTAAAAGAAAGGCGAGCTTAAGAGACCAAAGTCTCATAGTATGCAGCCGATATTGTCCTGCTGAGATAAAAGGCTGATAAAATGTAGGGTCTTTTGGATGCGTTAAACACAAACCTGAGTATGTTTGTCATGCGTTTCGCACCTGCGAAATATAAGATGATACTTTGGGACTGATATGCAACTACTCCCTACTAATGATAGGGAGTGAAGTGATGGAATATGTTGACCACTTCATTTGTTTGGTGGGTTGCTTCAGGTCGTACAGGCTGGTTGCTGTCAAAATCACCGCTTGGCCTATCTGTCATTTTCCAATTTGGATTACTTGCGGTGTCACTCGTGAGATATCCGGGTTTCATCAGTATAGGTGTAAAACTTGGGCACTGTCGTAGAAATTAATTCCATATTAGATTTGTTTATTTGATTTATAACACACAGTGATCTAGTATTATTTACTTGATATCCGGGTGCCTACTAAATGATGAGTAAGCTAGGTTGCGGTCCGTTCTTTCCTGTTATGTGGTTGTTATACATGGCCGTTGTCTCATACACTTATTTTCACTTTTATATCACTTTTCTCATCCACTTGTTCTTTGGATGGTGCTATGAAGTGTGGCGACTGATGCACTTTGTGTCAGGTTCTACGTTGATTCATTTATTTACCAACCCCTTTTAGATTGTATATAAAGTAGGTATACACATTAGTTCGACTGCTCATATACCCGTGTTTGAATGGATACCAGAAGACTACGACTGAAAGAATTTTCCACATTTGTATGCTTGACATGCAGTTTTCACCTGTCAGCTGACTCGTTGGTGTAAATGTTTGACTTCCATCCAGAGGTTGACTCTTTCAAAGCTGATTCCACTTAGTGGAGTTTGTCAGCTAAGTAGTAGCCCTGGTATTATAAATGTGGTTGACTGCCTGTTTTGTGCTTCTCAAATTTGAGATGTTGCTTCATGACTGGTCAACATAGACTGGTAAGTATATTAGGAATAAGCAGTGAAGTAGTAGATTGCGTTAGCCATTTGACGTACTTGCAAAGTTAGGTCAACCAACGAAATCTACTGAGCGATGTAGAAGGTCTTCTTGATCTTTGTGAACTTTCACCACTTACCGTGTGATCTTTGTGTGCTTCTGTGTATTAGGTTTAAGTGCACTGCCCACTGGTTCGCTCTGTTCTACTACATGACTGAGGAAGATTCCCGTTAAAGGGATATGATTTGAGGAGCTCTTACCTGTTCGATTACTTCTGCCTTCCTGGTCTAGAATATATTTTGTTGTGTCACCTCATCAGTAACTCTACAGTAAGGCGTAGAACTTTAGTCACAAACGGAACGAGAACAAGGCGTGTATCAGGAAGAAATATTTCTTTTCAGCGACTTCATTATCAAGCTGTACAGTCGTCAGTTGATGGAGTTGTGAACCGTCATTGGCTCAGGTCACTGAGACACGTGTCATGCATACCTCGTCACCGTTTACCCCGTCAAGCAGTTCTGGCTGAAGTAGTTTCAGAGTGGAAAAAAAGTTAGAAGCGGCCAAACAAAATAAAGTATCGGTTTATGAAGTCTTTGACTGTTGGTTTGAGCCAAGTACTGAATGGTAGACTTCTCAGTCGAGGTTCTCATGACAACAAAATCCAGGGGTTAGATACTTTATGTTACATGGTTGAGAATAAGTTTCTGTCGCAGATGCATCCACACATTACCTTCGTCTTTATCATAAGATTCGATCTCAATATTCCTCTCATTTCTTTTTGGTCTCTCTTTACGACTTCCTGCCACTTTTGACTACTTCCTACCTCTTTTCCTTATTGAAGCCTTGGTATGAGTTGTGAAAACCCTGGCTGACACAGTACTTTCAAGTTCCACTTTTCTGACTGTAGATTGTATTGTCATATTGAATTGTTCATTTGTGATTGACGTGCTTAAGTTATGAGGCATGAATGCATTTCACATTTCTGTTGGTAATAACCATCATTGGCTTCCTTATTACATTTCTGTTTAAAAGCTGGTATCATGATGCATACAACGGCAACAGTTTGATGCACTCATAGGATACGTTGTTTATGTAATGATGTAAACGATAATATTGTTTCAGTAGTCCTTATTATTCTATCTTGTTTCAATCCAGGTTCTTTCGGTTACCTTCAGTGACACAGCTGAGATGATATTTTCCGGTGGTATCGACAATGTTGTGAAGGGTTGGGACCTGCGGAAGTTGGAATCAAGTATGCTGCTCAATGGTCATACAGATACAGTTACCGGTTTATCTGTAAGTCCAGATGGTTCATTTCTGCTATCCAATGCTATGGATAATACGTTACGTTTGTGGGATGTTCGCCCGTTCGCTCCGGCAGATCGTTGCTTGAAGGTTAGTTTTAACTTCTGGATAATGATCATGTCCATCGTTCGTCAGCAAATTACCAAGGCAAACATAAATAATAATTTTTCGTTATTTGTCCCATGGGTTCCTAGTGGAACATAGGGCTTCAGTAGCACGTCGCCATTCCACTCTGTTCTCTGCAGTCTTTTGAACCTGGCTCCACGTCTGCTCACAAGCATTCATTTCTTCCTCACACCATCTCCTCCATGTCACCCTCGGACGATCAACTCGTCGTCTCCTCTTTGTGTTCCACTCGTGGGCTTGGGACGTGATGTCCCCAAATGGTCTTCTCAGTGTATGCCCAATCCATCTCCACTTCCTTCTGCATATTTCTTGGGTGATGGGTTCTTCGTTGGTTCGTTGCGAGGCCAGAGTTCATTGTTGCTTATTCTTTCTGACCTTCTGATCTGATCTTGAGTATCGAGTGAGCGTAGGCAGTTGTTGATGAATGTCTGTAGTTTGTTGGAAATGCTTTCCGTGACGCGCCAAGTCTCTCAATCATCACATAGAAGCACTGACTTGACGTTAGTGTTGAAAATCCGGATCTTGTTCTTTATGCTGAGTGCAGAAGATCTCCACACTGGTTCCAGGCTAATGAATGCCTGTCTTGCTATCTTTCCGATCCTGGCTTTGACATCCTCATCTGTGCCGCCTGTAGTTGAAACGGTGCTGCCTATGAAGGTAGGTGAAAGAGACTGCTTCCCTTAGATTTCAGCCGTTGGTGGTGATTGATGCTTGTTGTTGTTGTTGTTGGTTGGGTATCTTCATCACCTCTTTCTCCTCTACATTCACTTGAAGTCCCGTTCTCGCTGCCCTGCCTCTTATGTCAACTTGTTGGTTTTTGCCTGTAGATCTTCTAGTTTGTATGACATTAGAAACAAGTCATCGACGAAATCCAAATATTCTAGGATTTTTTCCCCGGTCCAGCGTATCCCCCTCTTCTCGCTTCTGTTTGTTGCATGATCCAGTCCATCACAATCAGGACGATCATCGGTGACGATAGTAGGCGGCAACCTTGTCTTACTCCTGTCTTCACTTCAAAGGCATAACTGAGCTTCCCATTGTGAATCACTTGGCATGTGGCGTCTCCATATAGCTGTTGAATGAGGTTGATAAAGGTTTGTTTCACTAAAAGCGTAGTGTTGAAGCAGCTGTCAAATTACTTCTCGGTTGATGCTGTCGAAGGCCTTTTCAAAGTCAATGAAGTTGAGGTAGAGTTGAGTGGACTGCCATTCTATACTCTTCTATGATGATGTGTAGCGTAGCGTTGCAATTCGGTCATAACACATGATTTGTTCTTCCTGAATCCAGCCTGTTCTGGTCGTAGTTTTGAATCCAGTGCATCCTTTGGTATCTCCAGGATGATGCGGTTTAATATTTTGCCTGCGGTGGGTAGGGGTGGAGCATGATTCCTCGAAAGTTCTTGCAAAGACTTAGGTCTCCCTTCTTCGGGAGTTTGACAAGGTAGCCCTTCTTCCAATCAATCGGCAAGTACCTTTCCTTCCTTCTTTCCAAATCTTCTGCAGTAGTGATGTGGGCATGTCCGCTGTTGTCTCTGTGTCTGTTCTCAGCGCTTTTGGTGGGATTCTATCTGGTCCTGCTGCATTCCCTGATTTCAGTAGCCTTATGGCATTCAGGACTTCACTTCTGCTTTTGACGGTGGGTTTGTGTTCTTTGATATTTCTGTGGCTGGGCTGCTGGTGGTATTTCTGGACGAGTTGCAGATGGTTGTCGATTCAAGAGTTTTTTGAAGTGGTCAGCCCATCATTTCCTTTGTTTCTCCTCTTTGATAACTACGTTTTCTTGACTATCTTTCATTGGTTTCATCTGTATTGATCTCTTCCCAGATAGTAATTAACATGGTTATTTGATATAGTGTTGTCAGGTCTCTCCTACCTGCAGCCTGTTCTACTTCACTTGACAATGTGTCGTAGAAGTGTCTTTTGTCTTTCCATACACTCTTTTTCACTTCTTTGTCCAGTGTTTTTTTATATGTTGTATTCAGTTCCTCCTTTTATTGTTCATCCCTACACTGCACTGGTTTATCTTCTGCTTCACCATCTTCCTCTCCCTGTTCTATCAGCTTCCATGTGTCCGTCAAGATCCATTCCTTGTCTTGTCTCTTCTTCTTCTTCCTCCCTAATACGGCTATGCAGGTTTCCTTCCACATAGCTCTCAAAGTGCTCCAGTGTTCTCCCACACAGATCCATTCAGGGATGTTGCACAATGCCCCCGTTTTGTCCTGATGGCTGGCTGACGTGAAAATCTCCTTTGTAGTTTCGTCCTTCAGTTCAGTCTCTGTTCTGGGTGGTTGTTGAACTTGAACTGTGGTCGTCTATCACCAGCTTCTTTTGAGGCTTTCAACTTGATTTGGAAGGTAGGTTCCTTGCACTAGGTAGTGAAGTGAGTGGTGCGAACCTACATCTGCTCCTCTCTCTTCTTGACCTGATCTTGTGACCAGTAGACTGCCTCTCCACTTTCTTCACATTGAGATGAAGTCGATCTGGTTTCTAGTGTGTCCTGGTGTCTGGTGAAATCCATGTCGTTGCCTTGTGAATATCCTTGTGTTCGTACACACTGCCTGACTCCAATCACCGAATCGTTGAATGCATAGAAGTCTGTAAACAGTTCTCCATTCTCGTTCATCATTTCACCGTGTGCCTCTCGACCCATGATGAGTTCTCTTCCTGTATTGTCCCCCCCCCCTCCCAGTTTGGCATTCATCTCACCCCACCCACTAGAATTTTGATGTCGCCATCTGGGGTGGGGTCTTGTCTATTGCTGATTGCAGTTGTCTGTAGAATTCCTCCTTCTTCTCTTGATCTGCATTGTTTGTAGGTGCGTAGCGTGGCGTAGCATTGTATGATTGTGACTTTCCTTCCTTTTGAGTTGAACCTTGCTGTCATGATCCTGGAGGAGATTGGTTCCCAGTGTATGAGAGCCTTCGATGGTCTTAGGGACATCATGATAGCCACTTCATAACTCAGTGTGCTGTGCTGGTGGTTGTCATCTGGGTGAAAATATCGGAGTAGATATCTGACTATCCAGGAGACAGTTTGGCCGGAAACGTTGTGCGAACATTCCGTGTCGGCTTTCTTGCGTTTACGTTCATTGGGAGATGAGAAAGACATTGGCGAATTGGCTTGCCAAAGGCTGGCACCAGAGGGGGTTATTTTGTCTCTCCGATTTCAGCTAGGAATTTTTCATATTTACTTTGTGGTTGGAAGCTTGCCGTTTACTTGTGCTTCTTTCTTTATCTGGGCTTAGTGCCGGCTAATAAGTAGTGAACTAGTATACCAGATGAGGTTTAAATAGTATTTGCTAGTGCATTCTGTAAGATTTTGACTCAGTAGTTTTTGCAGTCAGATTTGAATCATTTGGCCGCGTGTTTGAAGCCTTCTTCAACTGCTAAGGTTTCAGCAACCAGGCGATATTATTGTTATTCATTACACAGTAGATGTGACTGAGTTGTTACGCTGTAAATGAATACTACTAACACTACCCCAGTAGCTTAGGCAAGAGTACTATTTGTTACTATCTTGTGTACTTAACTTTTGATGTGGGTTTTTTGAGTAAAACACTTCAGTGTTCTAAGCACTAAATCGTTAAACAAAGATAAAGGGGATTTTGACCATATGAGAAACAGAGAAATTTATATTTCTATATATGACATTATGTTATGTGACCATAGGCGTGAGTTAACCATTCAGATCTCTATTTAACACTCTAAACCAGTTCGTTATTCGGTCTTCTGGGTAATGACTTGTTGAGAGTTCAAAGTACAATCTTATGAACCAGTCTAAAAGTAAGTGGAAAATGGGCTTCACTTTTTTCCATCTAAGTTAATATGAAACGTTTATGAGTAGTGAAAACTTTGTCCTGTGTTTTAGTATAGTGCATTAATTACATTTGTGTTTTGATAAAGGCTTTCTGATTCTTTCAGATTTTCACAGGTCACCAGCATACATTTGAAAAGAATCTTCTCCGCTGTGCGTGGTCATCTGACGGTCGTCGAATAACTGCTGGCAGTGGTGATCGTTATGTTCATGTGTGGGACGTAAATACACGTCAGTTGGTGTATAAACTACCTGGCCACACAGCTTCAGTAAACGAAACTGCATTCCATCCAACCGAACCGATACTTTTATCTGTTGGTAGTGATAAGAAGATCTTTCTGGGTGAAATCCTACCTTGTATGTACTGACTCAATGTTTCTTTCAAAAGAGCAACCTTATCTGTATAAAAATGAACATCTTTTAACGTTAATTATACTTATATAGCAAGTTTTAATTTGTTCTACTGTTGTATAGGTCAGCATTAATTTGATTATCGTCTATAATCTTGTCCAAAACGTAAGGGTAATAAACGTTAATCAGGGTTATGTATTTTATCAATACTTCAGTGTGTCGCGGTAAGATTCGGTTCAGGTTGCAATATCTCTGAAGCAATTTGATGGTGATAGACTGCAGTAGTATTCTTTTCCACCAGCATATCAACCACTTATTATTAGGTATTGGATGCCGCTACGTTATATAGTATAACTGTGATGTTTTAATTTGGAAGTAATCGTGGTCATTGCGGGATTCAGTTTGTCGAATTATATCGCACGATGCCAGTGGTATTCCTACGTTTTAATAGATTGAATTCACAGAGTCCTGTTCCCCTGACTTAAGTTTTTCTTTGTTAATGCAGTTATGACATCCAGGATTTGCTAACTCTTCTTTAAATAGAGGTAGCCATTTAGTAAGCTTACACTTCTTCAGGATGTTACATTCTTTTCAGGTTGGTATTCATCATGGACTGACATTAGTTGGATGAACATTGGTATTAGGTGTTGGGGGTCAATTAGCAGGACTCTGTGGACTGTTGTTGTAACTCGTTAACAAGGTTGATCTGCAACAATGCGGAGGCTGGTGTTTCCTCGTTGATTTGAACGTGTATTACTCAGCACTGAAGTTAGAGACTTTACCTGCCTTTCTTGGTAGTGGATGCAGACTCAAATGAAGCTGCTGAGGTGGTCACACCAACCTGCCGATCTATTCAATTTATACTGATCGGAAAATTCGTTCGTTGAAGGGTTACCATAGTGGAACCGTCAGCTGAAGGACGATGAGACTATAAACAACTAACAACTGCAAACAAAATACTGTAGAACAACTGAGGTCAAGGGTGAAGTACTACTGGTTGTATGGCATGTGGCAGTAGTCAAGTGTTTCTTGAGACCAATCAACATTTCAAACTGATACTGTTTGTCCTTCATCAGAAAGAGGACCTAGAAAATGTATACCCTGAGAGCATCATGCTCTTCTTCAGGTCTTTCGATGCTAGTGATAAAAGATTTTGAAGTATGTACGTAACACAGCTAAATCCGAAACACACCAAAAAACTATGTATGTACTTGCCTCAAGTGGCTGCTACTTAGTCTGTGTGGTCTAACGTATAGATCAATAAGACCATCCTTACTAATCCACTTTTTTCCAATACCTTGGGAGTATGCAACTGTACTGTGGTGTCTGCAACCAATAATTGTCTTGTACCCTCAGTTATGTCTTTCCTAAACGACTTCAACCTTCTAGCTTGTCTTCTTAATTCCAATGAAATTTTCCTGTTATTAATCTTATATCATGTTTAACTTCTAGCTCTACAACTCATGATAGATACTAAACTTATGTCTGCACCGTTCGGATAGCATATTTTACTAGCCGGAATACATGCATCTCTGGTGATGGACACGTGGATGTGCGGTTGCTTAATTGATCACACCTTGGCAGTTTGTCGAACCTGGGAAATCCATCTTTTGAGTATCTGTGAATGCCTAGGTTGTATCTTTCGGTTTACCGGTGTAAGTTTAGTGTTTCATTTTCGGTAAACTATGGTAGTATGCAGGAGACTTTAGAGACTGCGGTAGGCTTTGGAACTGGCTGTATTTTGATGAATCAGGTTAACTTACACAAGGTTGTAGAAGCATGGTTCACCGGCACATCTCAGTCACTGTATTTCATAGCCTAAAATTTACATTTGATTCCGTCGTATCATAGTTTCTCTTACTGTAAATGACATTTGAAAAGTATATTATCCTGAAGACTCATTGTCGTTTTAGAACCTGCCATGACTTATCAAATGATGCCCATGAATAATGTTGAACCTCTTTTTTTAGATGCTCTTTTACAGGTCTTCATTTGACTTAACAGGGGTTGACGTCTTCGTAGTAGATTACTTATTTGATTTAGAGTTGTCAGAGGATGCAGTTTTGGTAATTGAAAGTGTAGAGAATATGCACAACACAAGAGTGACAATCCAAGGATTTTCGGGTTACATCTCTAACCACTAAGTTCCATTTATTGCTTCAGTTCTGATACATATTGATACATCTTATGAAAGCAGGGAGCGAAATGGTGGGGTGCGTTTATCACTTCTCTTCCTTGGTAAAAATGGTCAGCAGTAATGTCCAAACGCCGACAAAATCTCTACTGTTATATAAGACTCTATCTGCTTTTGCTGTCCTATGCCAATCCTGGGACCAATGAGGTATGCAACTGCCTACTGAAGTTTGAGTGTACTACACAGCAGTTTTGATACGTAGCTACAAAAGGCAACCAATAGGCCGTCTTTGTCTTCTGATTTTACGCGGCTCAGTGAAGCGGAAGGTATTGAGGGAGGTCAGTCGTAAAGGTATTCGGTCGAGGTGTCTATTGAGTCTCAGTATCATTATACCCACACACACTCAACCACCACTCGGTCACAACAAGTTTATTGTATCCTGTGAACCATTTTCATCGATTATGTAGGATATTAGAAAGGTTCATAGCACCGTATAAATGTCTATCCTCTTGGTGAGTTTTTCATGCTGTGTTGATATGAAATGTGGTAACTTGGACGATTATACTCTAATTCTAGGTTGCTAGTTTCTGTTGCAGTGACAAACGATATGGATACACAAGGCTTCGTTGTTATTTTTAACTATGGAAAAGTGAATACAAACGTTAGCTATTCAGTTACTACATATTTGTTAGATGAATTTAAATTTAAACATAAACTGGCTTTTAACATATTTTGTGAATGGACATGTAATCAGAGATAATAAATGTAATTCTCCTATAAATAAATAAGCAAACATAATGCCAGAAAACTTGTTTAGAAATGGAAATCGTGTTATGTATGTTGTTTAATCGGAAGTGAATAAGGCAAAAAGTTGTTTTGGTTTCGTTTAACATTAAATAAGAGGTAGCTGTATTGGTGAAAATTCATTCATTTTCAACTAAACAGATTTTCCTTATATACTTCAGATTTTTCAGAATCCAATACAATCATTTAATTTGATTGGTGAACATGAGTTACTATTATGAACAGTAACAAAGATATGTCTTCTTGCCTTGGACTTTCAACAAGTGAATACCGGTTCTTATCCTGTTTTGACTACTAAGGCTGGAGGAATCAGGGATTTTCGCTAACCATTACACAAAGGATGTGGGTGGTAGATAAGTGCACAAATCTGAAAGTTGTTTTAAAACAGTACTATTATTACTGGGATCACTTACTTGGAAGACTAAAAATTATCTCTTTGATGGTCAGAAATTGATTGTAACCAGTATGTAGTGGCCCTGGTTATTCGTATGTTACACAAAACTGGAAAAGAATACGAGGCTCATTCACATTACCACTAAAGACATATTTTCAATGTTTTCATCCATGCATCATCATACAATTTGTTTGCTGTTGTATCAGCTGATATTGGTGACCAAAGGGCTGAAAAAGTTTCTGATTTTAAGGCAAACAAATTTTAAAGAAGTGGGAACAACAGACTTTGTCAAACAAAATGAAATTCCGAGTGGTATCATGGACTGCAATCCTTTGTTTTTCAGTGATCAAATCATGTTAGTCTACGTTGTATACGACCTTGAGATGAATCAATCCCTATAAACCAAATTAAGATGAAATCACTGTGTAGTCCTCAGCTTTATCATAAACGGGAACTATTTTAAAGTTTTAAAGGATATTGTGTTCATATAATCCAAGAAGTATGCGTAGATTAACTAATAAAGTTTTGCTTATTAAATCATAAAAATCTTGTGGATCTAGGCAGTATAGAATATGACTTTTAGATAGTATCCATTCATTTTAAATATAACTTATGGTTGGAAGATCATACGACGTTAACAAGTCAAGGATTTGCTAATAGTTTTAATCCCTCAAACTCAATTTATACTGATGATGAGAACTAGCAGATGTTGAATTTCAGGAAGTCATTTTGATGGGATATGCACAGCTTGTGGTGCAGATAGTCACCACTATATCCAAATGATTTTTTTAATTGTCTCATTACTCAAGTATGTTGAACACTAAAGTATCCAACGGTAGTTGGGTAAAATATGATTAATTTTTAACAACTCATATGGTCTATAAAATACATCCCACATAAGTGCACTAGTCCAAGTAGCAAACTTCAGACAATTCAAAAAAGTGGGTAGAAAAAGACCGATATCAGAGTAGACAAAAATCCAAGTAAGGCGCAATTCTTTGAAAATGAAAATGGTCAAACTTTGGAAAAAAGAGGTGATTCATCTGCGTCATTCCAAGCCGTATTACCAAACATCTCCACTATCGATGTCTGTCGTCTCAAGAAACCTACTCAGACAGTTCATACTTCCCTACACAACTCAGACCAACAGTCAGGGACTTCACAGCCTGGTGATAAATCTTGGTCTGGTCACCCTAACCCTTCTTTTGAACCAATGCTACTTCACCTAAGAATGCAAGTCGAGGTAGATGGTGACTTGGCATGGGCAACAAGTGTGCAAACATCACAACTCCATCGATTGACTAACCTATTAATATCCACTACAACTACCTTTCACCTAATTTCAGCGCTGCTCACACGATGTTTCCATCGTACATGAGCATTGCAGCAAAGATACCCATGTTAAAAAAACTTTTACTTTTTAATATAATCTTTTTTCTTGGGTCAATTCTCACAGCCGTTTAACATGACAGAAAAGATTGCAGCGTTGTATTCGTGTGCTTTGATAGGTAGTCGGATATCTCACCAATCTGCTCCGGAAATGACATCATTTTGCGAATGTCAAATGGGCCTTCCGCATTCGAGCCTTAATTTCGTCACCAGCCAACCCGTTCAGGTTGATGCAGCCTCTCGAGAGAGTGAAGTGTTTAACGCATTCCACCATTCGACTCCCTATCATTAACCTGAAAAGAGCTCTAGACCAGCCCTAAAACGTCACCTAACATTTGAAAGGACCGGAACACAAACCAAACACGTAAAGATTTCTGCTGGG